TATTCAAAATAATTCATATTCAAGCCTGGCCAAAACCTGTCCATGACCAGCGCATTCAGGCCGAAAATCTTATTGAAAATAATCGGCGAATCATATCCGGCCAACCGTCGGGCTCGGGGAGACTGTATATAATTAAGCGGCACTGGAAATACGGTAGCAGGTTACCAAATTTCTTTGTCGCGTCGCTGGTCAATAGGCCTGGCAGGCCTATTGACCTGGAATGCTGCAACATTGGCCCAGGAATGCCTACTTTTTTGGGAATGACCCAGCAAGGGTTAGGAATGCTAGGTAAAAATTGATGGGAGTATAAAAAGAGGTTTGAGTGACCTGAAATGTTGTTAAAAAATACTAAGAATATTGTTATGTTGAATGCAATGTGTGGGACCAGGAATGTTTGTTTTTTATTGTTTTTTAGTGATGCCTAAGGAACGCTGCTTCTTTTCGGAAACTAAAAGCTTGGGCACAATAGGAAGAAAAAATATTTTGAGATTAGATACTTTTTCCTCGATTCAGAACCCATGGGACAGAATTTATATATTTTTTTAGTGTCGAACGATACAATGCAAACCGAATATCACTATATCAGGGCTCAAAATCTACATTCGAAATTAAAAATACAACAACATCGAGTAAAAAAATTAGTAGGGAAAACAAAACGCAAAGCCGATAATTAAATAATGTAAAAAATAATTTAATAATGTAAAAAAGACAAATTTACACTTCCAGATAGATCGCTACAAAAAGAAAAAATTTATTGAAAATGTTGAATTCATTAAAAATTTGAGGTTGAGGGTTGAGCAAAAATCGCTGGGATATCTCATTCTAGATTACCGCCACCACACCACAGCTGTAAATCTATAACCGGTGCGTGGACGTATCGGATACGGTTATGACAGCGGATATTTCTCACCCGGTTACGACCACCACACCACAGCCGTAAATCCAACCGTCAACGCTGTACGTAATTGAACTCTTAGCGTGTCATCAGCGGCCAATTTATATGATAAACATTCATGATATGCAAGTAATTATGAAAAAAATGGAAGGAATACGATGCTTCGCGCAACTTCTGCAACTCACACTATTTTCCATTTAATTCTGATTAAAATTTCATTCATTGAAGCCTAATTATTTAATTACGAGCATCAAGTCCCCCAAAACCTTTGTAAAAAATTATCTTTGAATTTTCAACGGCCAAAGTAAAACCACCAATCATTGAGTGACGTAGCAAAGAAATATTTTATTTTCCATGAATTGAAAACAATCGTCAGGACACATTGGTCCCCTCCCGGTAACATTCATCGTCCGCGTATCGCGAGCGTAACGAGAAAATAACACGTCTATGTTGCAAATTACACGTCCTCTTACGACGATGCATCATGTCTGTTTCAGCGTACGTGACGATTACGGCGTGTACGTCACGTCGTATCCAATATACGGCCTGCCATGTCGTGATGGATGCCATGTTCATACGGAAATTATTATCTCTTTTTGTCCGGGATCGTTTTTCACGGAGTAATTGGAGCAAAGCGGGATGAGTTTTAAATGAAAGGGTGCGTGGGAAGGGGAAGTCGATATCATAATTATTTCATATTGTGTCGGGAGAGCGTGTGAGTAATTGGGTAGTTCTTTTACTTTAAACTCTGTATATAATCCATGTAATGTCGAGGAAAAACTGTGGGTAATTCGTGAGGGATATTATTTTAATTTCTGCATATTCCATATCATGCCGATAAAAACCTGCGAGTAATTGGGCAGTTCAATTATTTTAAACTCTGTACATGTTCCATGTAAGGTCGAGGAAAACCTGTGGCCAATTAGTCAGGGATATGATTTCAAATTTTTTAATGCAATAAGTGAATATAAATCCGATCTGCAAGGCATGAATGGTCAAAGGAAAAGAGTTTCAAAGATGTAAATATAAAATTGTGATGCAAGCAAACCGATAATTTAACAACAACCACGCCTCCGAGCCTATGTCGGCAACCGCACCACAGCGACGTGGGCACCCGCGTGCCGCAGTCTCTCCTGGGCAGTAGGCCGGTGAACTGCTGTGTGGTGTGGTGTGGTGTGGTGGTGTATTGTGGCGTGGTGGTGTTGTGCTAGTGGTTAGGTGTGGTGTCGTAGCGTTAACGTGGTGTGCTGATTCGAGGTGCTCATTTTACACCTGGTGTGGTGTGGTTGTGTGGTGGTGGTGTGGTGTGGTGCGGTGTGGTATGGAGTGGTGGTGTATTGTGGCGTGGTGGTGTTGTGCTAGTGGTTAGGTGTGGTGTCGTAGCGTTAACGTGGTGTGCTGATTCGAGGTGATCATTTTACACCTGGTGTGGTGTGATGGTTTAACAAATGTAATGGTGTAACTAGTGTGGTGTACAATGCTAGTCGCTTCGGTTGTCCAAATCGCATAGTTCAAGTATAAATAAATGGCAAAGACTGGAATATTACACTACATAATCGATGATAATGTTAGTGGTGATGAGGCTGGTGAGATGGCTATAGTGAGGTGATTTTTAGGTGATTTTTGGTGATTTTTTTTCCGTACTTAGGTACGGAATTCTGAGGTGATTGTTATAGTACTTATTACTATACTTATATTACTTATTTTACTACTACTATAGTATTACTACTATACTTATAATACTTTAGTACTTATATTATTTATATTGAGATGATTTTTATAGTTATTCTTATTACTGAGTTTTCAGGTAATAGTTATAATACTTATTATGAAGTTGCTAGGTAGGTTCGCTTGACGCACTTACGTCGTATCCTACATACGGTTTGTTGTTAATAATGTTTCAAATAATAATAATGTTTGTAAAAAATAATAATATTTGTAAAAATAATAATATTTGTAAAAATAATAATATTTGCAGTCCCTGGACGTACAAATAGAATCCTGACATCCCGTACTGAAAATTAGTTATCAGAAGGATTCTGTAAATATCTGTTAAACTCATTGTGACTTAATTTGTAAATTATAATATTTGAATTTGTAATCGCTATGCATTTTAATTTCTTTTGAATAAGCCTGATTCCTCTGCAAATAATGCAATTTATTTCCGTAATATTTTAACTTGATATTTTTCAGTTTAAATATAAAAATGCATTGGAATTCAAGCTAAAACCCACACGAGATATAGAAAATTAATTGAACTGATGAGCTGAATATGATTAAATGAGCTGATATATGGATGAGCTGGATGAATGGGCTGAATATGAATGAGCTGGACGTGATTTATACTAGACATATAATGGTGATTTTTATGATATTATATTTGTGCACGCATTAGGTGATTATTGTTGTTAGTGATAATCACCTACAATTAACAAGATCAGACTGCCAAAAAAGCTTCTTCAATTTATTATATACATATTATAAGATGTATATAATATACAAATACATACATTTTACATTACTGATATAGTTCTTTCCACAACACAATGAAAAATGTGCAATTACATTAAAATAAGGTGTGTTATAATTTGCATTAAGATAATTAAATGCAATCCTGTTTTACCGTTCCTTATTATGCGCGATGTAAACGGCTTACCTATAACAAACATTAACTAATTTTAACATTATATTACGAATGCTAATCAAGTACAGAATTTTTAGAACGTAATTGATAGTTCTCCAATTATTGCAGCCAGTTATCACTGAGCTTCTAATGAAATTTATCAAAAATAGATTAGGCTTTTAAAATAAATAATAAGTAAAGAAGGCTTTTAGCGATGTTTAGAAGCTGAATTTCCTGTCATAGAATAAATAAATAATGAGCAGTTTTAATGTGTGCGGCAGAATAGATAAAAAATGTTCATATATTTTTATGTGTTGCAATTATATTTAATGTGTTCGATAATTTAGATTTCACCCTAATTATAATATAGAAAATTTATATATCTATACTACAAGATGAAGTACTGTAAGTTGCTAAAATAATAATTGCTTACGCTTCTCTTTAGTATTGGAAGCCTTAATTACATGTAAAACATACAGTTCTTTATACTTATATTATATACTACTATACTAGTACAGAACTTTATATCCTTATACGATATATGTACCACAGTACTTTTTACTTTTACTGATGTCGCCCAACATTATGTTGATAGGTAATGTGTTGAAGTGATGACGTCAACATGATGTTGATAAGTGATGTGTTGAAGTGATGACGTCTGACATGATGTTGATAAGTGATGTGTTGAAGTGATGACGCTCAACATGATGTTGATAAGTGATGTGTTGAAGTGATGACGCACAACATGATGTTGATAAGTGATGTGTTGAAGTGATGACGCACAACATGATGTTGATAAGTGATGTGTTTAAGTGATGACGCACAACATGATGTTGATACTGAAATTAATAGTAAAATTAGAGGAAACCCCACGGTGCTGTGGTGTGCTGTATATCATAATATAATTATGATAATGATATATATTATATAATGATATGATAATGATATATAATGGCATAATATATGTAAAAAGTGACGTATAGAGCCGCATAAGCTGCGTATATGCAAGGTGAGTTGATAAGATAAGGATTGCAACTTACGCATGAATATATTATATAAGTTAAACGCTTTATATAAGTTAAACTTCAGTGAATGATGGTAAACTATTAAGAAAATATTTTGCCCGGTAAAGGTATGGCACGGTAAAGTTATTATGAATATAATTCAAATATTAAATTAACATTAATATTGGATGTTACTTCCCTCCCCTCATTGCACATTCCCCACATCTCCCCTCCACATTTCCCTCCCCACATCTCCCCTTCCCTTGTTTTCCCTCTCCCCTCTCCCCCTCCCCCTTTCTCCCCTCTCCCCCTCCCTCATCATGATGATCGATTTCCGATATTAGGCGAGCTAAGGGGGATGAATATTTGGGGGGAAGGGGGGACACAATTAGGGGAACAGGATATGAAATGAAGGAGTGAATAGTGGGGGGAGGGGGTAGGGGAGGGGAAGAGAGAAGGAAACAAGACTTTCTGAAGCATGAATAAAGTTTTGAAAAGTTTGGCTGAGATCGAAAGTTCAGTCAAACTTCCAGTCAAATTTCCAGTCCAACGCCCAGTCAAACGCCCAGTTCAACGCCCAGTCCAACGCCCAGTCAAGAGTCCAGTCAAACTTCCAGTCAAACTTCCAGTCAAACCACCAGTCAAACTTCCAGTCAAACTTCCAGTCAAACTTCCAGTCAAACGTCCAGTCAAACGTCCATTAAAACGTTCAATCAAACTCAGTCAAACTTCCAGTCAATTTTCCAGTCAAACTTCCAGTCAAGCGTCCAGTCAAATTTCCAGTCAAACGTCCAGTCAAACGGCAGTCAAACATCCAGCCAAACGTCCAGTCAAACGTCCTGTCAAGCGTCCATTCAAACGTCCAGTCAAACGTCCAGTCAAACGTCCAGTCAAACTTCCAGTCAAACTTCCAGTCAAACTTCCAGTCAAACTTCCAGTCAAACTTCCAGTCAAACTTCCAGTCAAACTTCCAGTCAAACTTCCAGTCAAACTTCCAGTCAAACTTCCAGTCAAACTTCCAGTCGAACTTCCAGTCGAACTTCCAGTCAAACTTCCAGTCAAACTTCCAGTTAAACTTTCAGTCAATTTTCCAGTCAAACTTCCAGTCAAGCTTCCAGTCAAACTTCCAGTCAAACTTCCAGTCAAACTTCCAGTCGAACTTCCAGTCAAACTTCCAGTTACACTTTCAGTCAAACTTCCAGTCAAACTTCCAGTTAAACTTCTAGTCAAACTTCCAGTCAAACTTCTAGTCAAACTTCCAGTCAAACTTCCAGTCACACTTCCAGTTACACTTCCAGTCAAACTTTCATCTAAAAGTTTCGCCAAACGTGAAAGCTTCGCTCAAATGGTCAGTTAATCTTCAAAAAATAAAAAAATAAAAAAATAAAAAAATAAGAAAATCTTCCAATCGGAAATTTTGTTCAACATTCGACGTTCAGAGTAAAATTTAGACAAAAATTCAATTTTTCCCGTGATTTAAGCGTGAAATTATTTGACCACGAAATTGTTAAGTCAGTGGCCTCAACATTTAGCCAGACAGTCAGTCAAGTTAAGTGTTAGTTAAGCTGCTAGTTAAGTTGTTAGTGAAGATGTTAGTTAAGTTGTTACTTAAGCCGTTAGTCAAACTGTTAGTAAAGTTGTTAGTTTAGCCGTTATTCGAGCCATCTCATTATCTCAACCGTCAGTCAAGCCGTCAGTCAAGCCATCACGCAGCTCTGGTCATTAGCGTCACTATGATGGCAGTCTCGGTCATCAGTCTCAGTCATCAGTCACACGTTGGCTATCTCAGACAGAATAATACTGGGAATAAATGAGACTTAACAAGTCACGGCGGTACAAGTCGTTGGCTCAGTTCTACCTCGTGGGTATAGGAACTACAGGTAGAACTGCTAGGGAGCAATGTGAGGGTAGAACTGCCAGGGAACAATGTGAGGGTACAACTGCTAGGGAACAATGTGAGGGTGGAACTGCTAGGGAACAAAGTGAGGGTACAACTGCTAGGGAACAATGTGAGGGTAGAACGGGCAGTGGAGAAGAGGGGTTTCAACATAAGAAAACATATGAGCAAGAGTAGGAGTATGAAGGAGTATGAAGGAGTATGAAGGAGTATGAAGGGAAGAGGTAATATATAAGGTATGGAGAGGTAATAATTGATGTTGATTTCGGGGATTAAGAAGAATGATGACGAGATGAATATCAATTATTTTTTATATGTAATGCTGGCGATCCTGTTTGTGTGTATACACACGAACGGCTGACTCAAGCATAAACACACGATTTTTTATTTAAAAGTTTATAATTTATTAGGGAGTATGTAAATAACTAATAAAAGGTATTTCTGGGAACTGTGGGTGTTAATAACAATCATCGTATAACAATACTTTCTAATAGAATTGTGACTGTTACACTTGCTGTTCTATGCTTTACTGAAGAAAAGGACTTCTGCCATTTTTCGCCATAACAGTTTTTTTATACAAGCTAATTAGAAATCTTTTACTTTAATAAAATTTTCTATAAATTTTTGCCGAAAAATCTTCAAGCCTTGTAAGCAATACTTTACACGTGACTTTCAATTTTATTTCAATTTTTTCCATTAAATGACAGCTGCCAGAAATTTCATGGTCTCCCCTCTTATAAGTATTGGAAATTACCATCGACTCGATATTATACCCTCGCCTTGATATATTACCCTCTCCTTGATATTAATTACAAGATGAAAGATTTTCTCCCCCCGGATGATAAAGATCCTCGCTTCGGCAGTTCTGGCCTCAGGATTTGTTGGTCGTCGTCTCGTCTCGATATATCGCACGGATTTTGAGAGACTCTTTTGGATTTCGAAAGATTCCCTTGGATTTCGAGTGACTCTGTTGAATTTAGAGGAATTTTTGAGCGGTTCGCTTAAATTTAGAGCGATTGCCATACATTTTGAGAGGATTCCTTGAATTTCAAGCGGGTCGCTTTTAATTTCGTGTGACTTCTATAAAATTCAAGTGTCTTGCCTGAATTGTGTGCCTTGATTTTCGAGTATCTCATTCATGAATTCAATTTCAAGCAAATTCCTTGAAATTCAAGCGACTCACTCAAACTCCGAGAGGTTCGCTTAAATTTCAGGACACTCTCTCCAATTTCAAGAGGCCCACTTTTTCAGTAAATTTCGATTGATGCCGCCATTTTGCCGGCCCCGGAAAAAATCGATCCAAAACACGTTACGTTTGCTGGGGCCGAACGAATAATTGAAGAAAGGCTGTTAAAAACGTTGCTCTGAATACCGCGCCAGCGAAATAAAAAAAATTGTGCGTTATTTGCTCACTGATTTTCTGAGACGTTAATGCCTTAAAAACAAACTCATTGTCATTACTAATTTTAATTGAATAAACTCATTGTAACTCGTGGTTAAAGCTACACTCAGAAAATTAATGGCCATATTGTCCATAAAGTGACTTTTTTATGCTCGTACTTCTAATACATCCTTTTGCCGGTTCAAACTAGGCCAGGAAGACCCACAGGAAGGCAACATGTGCATTGCTATTTGGACAAAATCACGCTTACATATTTGAGTGTAATCCTGCCTGCTAGGTGACTCAAGCATGTCACGGCTGACTCAAGCATGTCACGGCTGACTCAAGCATGTCACTCAGCTGACTCAGGCATGTCACGACTGACTCAAGCATGTCACGACTGACTCAAGCATGTCACAGCTGACTCAGGCATGTCACGACTGACTCAAGCAGGCCTAATAACATAACCATATTACATATGCATCTGGCATTAGAAACTTACGACTGAACTGTATGGGGATTTTACAACTGAACCGATAATTTTGCTACTGAACCGAGAATATTACAAGTGAACCGAGCATTTTTCGACTGAAATGAAGATTTTCCGACTGCGAGTCTGAGATAATGCAACTGAACGGAGCATTTTACACAAACCGAGAACTTAACAATTGAGCTGACCATATGATATACGACTGAACTGAGAATTTTAAGCCTGAACTTGGCAAATCAAACTTGAGACGTATTAATTGAGTATTATATACACTTGTGCCCGAAATTATTCATACCCTAACGTCATTTTGACAAATTTCGAGAAATAGACCAAAACATAATTATCTAAAACTTTAAAGCAGATGTAAACCTTTTATGAACCATGTAACATGTATTTAGAAACCAAAAAAACATTATTTTTTCAGTTTTGTAAAGAGATTCAAAGGAAACATAAAACTGACTCATGACCAAATTTATTCGTACCCTGAATCAATAGTTAATATCATGGCCTTTTACTCGTGATAACTTGTGGTAAACGCTTTGGGTAATGGTCAACAAGGTTCCTGCATGTATCGACGCTAAGTTTTGTCCATTCTTCCAAGGCATCTGTTCCAATTCTTTCAAATTTTTAGGTTGTCTCTTTTTCATCTCTATTGTCAGTACGCGCCACAAATTCTCAATTGGATTGAGATGGGGAATTTGACTAGACCATTCCGTGACATTGATGTGAGAATCCTCAAACCTCTTCTTGACTATTTTCTATGTGTGCTTCGAATTATTATCCTGCTAAAGAATCCAATCAAGAACAAGAAAAAAACTTGCTGCACCCTGCTGGCCGTTTTTTCGATAATATCAAAATATTGTTCTTTTTACATGATTCCGATTACTTTGATCAGACTTCCAGGTCCCCTGGCAGAAAATGAACCCCAAAAGATAAGATTCCCACCACCATGTTTAGCTGTGGGGATTGTTTTCTTTGGATTATGAGCCTCACCTTTTTTTCACCAAGCGTAAGCAACATTCATTTGCCCGAATTATTCAATTTTAGTCTCATCTCTCCACAAAATCTTGGAGAAAAATGAGGTTTGGGAATCGACAGGAGTTTTAGGAAACTTCTGAAATGTTTTCACATGCTTTTCTGTTAGCAAAGGGGTTTTCCTGGGTCGACAACCCTTCAGTCCGTTACGACGCATTGTTCTTTGCAGTGTTTGTCTTGATACCTTCATATCAAAAGCATCCAAATTTGATAGAATTTCCATACTCGTGATCCTATAATTGTTACAAATGGAGCGTATTATGTTTCTAGCACATCTAGGGGAGATTTTTCCTTTCCTTCCTCGACCAACCATGTTATCCACCGCGATAAATAATTTGAAATTTGTTTATCATGCACTGTATTGTAGACGTAGGAACATCAAAATTCTTAGATATTGCTTTATATCTCATCTCTTCTTGGCAGGAATTTTTAATTTTGCTTCCGAGATCATTACCAAGCTCCTTTTTCTTTGCCATCTGCAAACTTATAGCAAAATTTTAGCTTTTTCCTAATTAGTGAAAAAAATGACGTTTTCAAACTTTGCAGAGAAAAATATTACAATGCTTAGTAACACCAAATTCTGAAATACAATTATTGAGTATCTACTACTATTTTCATTAATAGTTCTTCTTAAATATTATGATAAATGATCTGGAATAAGAGGGTACGAATAATTCTGAACGGTTAGTTACTCACAAAATTCAAAGTAATTACTATCGAAAGTTATTATATACATTTTTTCTAGCATTAAATTTGTTGTACATAATAATGACGACCCTTCCTGAAAGAATAAGTTGTAAATGATCTCTATTGTTCATTAAAATTGGAATTTTATTATATTTCTGTAGAGGTATGAATAATTTCGGGCACAAGTGTATATACTGTATGTGGCCTGGAGCATAATTTTGGAGTTTAAAAGACGTGATTATAAATTCAAGGCTGACTAAAGAATTTCACGTCAGAGTATCATATATATACGGGTGAATAGAAAATCTCGACTGATGCATGATTGAATGGTGTTGGCCCTCTAATAAATAGGGCCAATATAAAATAACACCAATAAGCCCTGAATCGAACGCCTTGGATCTTTCCGGACATCCACCAATCAGCCGTGAATGGAATCTGCTATCCGTAACCGATCATTGACATCCTTCTGCTTTGAATATTTTGAGCTCCACACCCCCCAGACACGAGGTCAAATAGCCTAGGGTCGAATGGCCGTCCACCACTGAACGTTGCGTCGAAGCATCACTTCATACCCTGGCCACCGCTCGAATTGCAACTTGCGCGCAACAGCCTGCGACCACTTGGATTTGCCCACCTCCGGCCTCGCATAAAACCTGCCGTGCACCACCAGGCCGTCGATCGAAAGAGCCGTGCGACTGGCTGAGTCAGGTTAGGTTGGGTTAGCACTCGGCTGGAGCGTTCGACCCGCGGGCGTTCGACCGAGGGCTGGTTCGACGCACTGCCTAGATACGGACGGCTTGGTGGCGGATATTAAATTCGCTTCAAGGCTCCGGCGCGCTACGTCCGAGTGGTGTACAACTTTTTCGC